AAGTTCAGTGTAGAATCGCATAATTGAATAAAATCTCGCATTCTGATTGGTTAACGAAGCGAGGTATTTAGCGAGTTGAAAACGAGGCTAAGCGATATTGTTTTGCATCTACATCCATGATATACGTAACAAGTATCGTCAAATTGTAACACAACAAAAGTTTGAAAACAAATGTAAAAACAAACACGAGGTACAAATAAAGTTGTGGAAGGTTCAAACGTGTACGACTGACCTTGCTTGCTACTCGCTAACGCAATGACAGTTCTGACAGTTGACTTTGAAATGGCTTTCTGGAGCGCGCGCTCAGGATAAAAACAAACAATATTATTGCTGGTTTCTTTTTTTCTTATTTTTATTAAATTATGCGATTCAAGGAAAATCTATTAACGCTGAATTCCCTCGTCAGGTAATGAATTTTCTTATAGCGTGAACAGCGCGAAAAGAAGACAAATATCCATTACGTCCCCATAACAACATATGGACAATTTTCCTTCTTTACTGATACTTGCTTATATGGCTGTCAAATCACTGACTGCTTTTACTCAGGACTAAGACTAAGAGATTATTTTGCAGTTTTACACAAGTGTTTCCTTTTCTCGGTTATGACTGCGCATTTTGTAAGCATGGAGACATTGTCGAATGATACCTTATCTATTTCATTGTGTATTTGAATCCGAATTCAAACAAATTCTCCTGAGCTTATGTTAACGCCTATATATATTGTTGTAGTCATGGAAACCAGTTGATTGATCATAGTTATGGGAGCTTCCATACTTTTTAAATTCTCGCATTTAAAAGCATTAACTTCTACATCCTTCCAGATGATCCTGAATACCAGAGGGTATTTGCTACGTTGGAGGAACTCGGCCTAAGTGATCTGAGATCACTTTTTAGAGGAAAGCACTTCCGGGTAATGCTGCTCGCTGGACACGTTTTATTTTTAATTATTTATTGTTATAGACTTTGAAATTCTCGCGTATTGTACTGTCTTGCAGGTCTTAGAGTATACTATTAGTCTTTATCTTTCAAAAATGTTGATTCTTGAATGCCCCTTTTTATTAACCTTAAATGTTATAAAAACTACACGTGGGAGTGAAAATACTCCGACTTTGCGCCAGTGTAACGATTTATCACAAAAATCAAGATTTTTATTCTTATTTCAGGATAAGACTCTGTCTTTTATTAAATCAGAGGAAAAATTGGACCACATTCTCGACAAGGTACGATAAACGTGGCGGTGTGCTGTGTGAATTGAACTTTTTAAAAAACGAATTACATATCACTTTGTTTCAAAAGGAACTTCTTAATAGATGGGAACAAAACTTCAGTATTCATACGCAAGTCTCTTCTATCTCTTTGAAATACCTTCTTTTATAGATACAATGTATAACGATTCACATTCACAGCAGTCTGTGAATACATTCACCCTATTTTGAGCTATTTTGAAATAACAGCAGATATGTCAGTGGTCTGAGCGTATGTAGCTTTGTGGCTTTGTGTGTTTGTATTTATGTTGCAGTGTCCAATAAGGTTGGAGGTACTCGTACCATGAGTTGATGCCAGGAACCAATGAGATTTTGGCATCTAAACATGACATTGCTAAGGGTGAAACAAGGGCACTTTGAGAGCGCCATCTTGTTCTTCTCAATTTTTCGCCTTTTATTGCGGCTAAAGGTGTTTAGAAGTATAACATCTAGATATCTTTATGATTTAAACATTGAGTACGGTGATGCAAGTTTTGGCATGGGTGCTGCTTCAATTAGATATTTCTGACCTAATACGGCTATCGCCGTGAACGGTACAACTCACGTATATCATAATTGATGAGTTCTGTTCCTCCTGTTTCAAGGTAGAGTATAAAAGATCATATATTTTTCAAAGTTCTTCAAATGAAACGTTAAAAATTGCTATCTAAGTATGCGACCTTTAAATTGTGCTTTTTAAAAGTTTGAAAGGCAACTTATTTTTGTAAAAGCTGTATTGAATATATAATTTTCTTAAGAGTAAATAAATGTTAGGCTATCAAACTTAACGTTGCACGAAGCATAATTTAATTGTTGATGTTGTAAAGCCGAGGTGATTTCTTAAAATCGTTTGAGCAAATTTTCTAGTGCACAATTTGCGTTCTTTTACGTACGAATTCACGTGCTGCCAAGCTCAGCATGAGAGTAATCATTACCCCGTGTGAGATATTACGTCATCCTCAAAAAGGCTGAGAACATAAAGAGAACGAGTGCTGTCAGGGAAAAAAAACCAGCCATAGTCTGTTTAATACTCGGTCATTTGTTGGGCGGTGATAACTGTAAATTATTTATGTTGCGTAACATACTTTTAAATGACTTTTAAGTTCGCGTTGGCCAGAATACATAGCTTTGGAAAAGAGTGAATCTGTCATTAGAGAGATTTAGAGTCACATTTAAGGCAAACGACACACGTGAATTTGTACCACGTGACCACGTTTGACACACTGTTTCCCTTTACTTGTCTTAGTACTGTTAATGACTTCTACAAAAATACTGGTAGTTTCACTCTAGTTGTATCCATAAGAATCTTTTGGGGTGTTATTATTCGCTGATTTTCCAATTTGAGAAATTCTCAACTTGAATATAACGTTTGCCGTAAACGTGACGTTAAATCTCTCTACTGTTTTTTTTTTGTACTCCAATAACCTTCGTCAACATGACAGGACAACGCGTCTTCTTACATATAGTTTGTCCTCACAGGAATTCCGTTTACCTTTTGGACAAAGATTCGAATTTTGTCAACTGTGGTTTGAAAAGTATCACGGAAAAGAAGGCAAGTGAATAGGCTGAAGTATAGTCTTTCGCAAGACACTGGAAATTCATGAAGATATTACAGCATGGCAACCGTAACCATTATGAACCTGTGAATGATTCTTTTCTTATAGTGCTCTTGTCTAGGAGGACGGCGCTTGAATTCTCTAGATTCATTACGTAACTCACCTCTTTACTGATTTCGATTGCAGTTTAAAAAGATCATAAACAAAACAACCAGGTTTCACAGTGTGTAGCCTGTTCACAGACCCTTTATTCCCGGGCGGGGGGGGGGGGGCCCCCGCATGTGAAAGGGTTGGGCATGATTAAAACCCCTAAAGGAGACAAACCTGGGGGTAGAATACCTTTTTTTTAACCCCTATGTAAACCCTTTTTAAACAACGGAAAATGGGTCGTTAATTACTGTGGTTTATTCGCAACTCCCTTCGTTTTAACGATTGAGGTTCGTGTAAAAAAAATACAAAAAGAAAAACACGGGTTGGCAGTGGGTAGGGCTCGCACACACCCCCTTTTTGCGGGGGGGGGGGGGGGGGGGGACGCCGCATATGAAAGGGTTGGGGATGAATTAAACCCCTAAAGGAGACCGATCTGGGCGTAGCATAACCTTTTTTTGACCCCTAAGATAGACCATGTTAAAACACAGACAATATATGTATTTTTATATTTTTTCACGTGCAACCCTAAACAAGACCTTCACGGCTAAATATGATGCTTTTTGCCCAAAACACCTAAGTGAGACCAAAATCCGAAATTTACACCCCTAAGCGAGACGACGAGCATCCCCACCCCTTTCATATGCGGAGTCCACCCCCCGGGCCTTTTTTTCTCTTTAAAGTCCGTCGAGCGTGGGTGATAAAATATAAACCGCAGGGGATTTATTGGCCGCCAGCGCAAGGGGGTAGTGTCGCGCTCCGCACTCGTTCTCGCGCGCTCGCTTCGCTCGTGAGTTCGACGATGTTTTCGAAAATAACGAAAAGAAAAATAAAACAACGTCTGTGTACAGGCTACACAGTGTTACATATCTTTCTTTTGGCTCACTGACCTCACAATCTCAAGTAGTTTAAGGCCTGGGACTAAGGGGTTTACCTGAGGAAAATGAATTATTGGCTATAACTTTGGCACAGATGGTGGCACTGAGTCAAAATTTGTCACACGTAAAGAACTTATCGTCCTTAACATTTCAAAGAATGAATATTGTGTTAATAGGTCACGTGATATGTCACGTGACCATTTTGCTAAAAATTGTAAATTATTGCCCAATTGGTGGCCGGTTTAAGAAAAGAAATCAAGCAATAACATTGTTCTAATTCATATTAAATATTTCTAACACTTCACGTTTGGAATGACCGTCCATTGCACTTCAGTAAGAAATTATGAGGCAAAACATGATTTTTAATGCCCAAATTTAATCTTGAATTATTTAAAACTTTAATTTTAAACTGCGCATCCACTTATTCCAAACGTTGAAAGTTACGTGTGTTTATCCTCTTTCAGAAATGCCAATTTGTGTATCCCAAAAAAGTAAATTCGCCACCAATTCGCCAATATCCCTCATTTACAATTTTTGGTCACGTGACATGTCACGTGACCATAATTAAACGTTAAGGCTCAAGAAAACCTCACTATTTACCTTAGGGGAAAATATTATTGTTCTAGGTCTCCTCTCTTCTATTGCCAATCATTCATATGCTCAGAACACACCTTGAGTAGCCTGCTCCAGGCTCCGAGATAGTCGGGTCCGTTGAGAAAGCGCAAACACGGAGGGACACAATGCCTTAAATACTTACATGGGAAATGCAAGAGCTCTTAAAACACGTCATGCGATAATCGATAACACGGCACACCGTGGTTTAATGTTTAAGGACAGATATCACAAAATTTCACGACGTTTTTTTTTATCACACAAAAGATAAATAATTTAAGACAATTTTGAAATATCACTAGTGCTATTTATGCCAAATATCACTTGCAAATCGTGCTATTATTTGCTTATACTACTACCCACACAAGGTCTGTAATTTTCACATGTAGGTATTTCAAATTAAGCTGAAATACCACTGCTCTAAGCCAATCAAATTGCAGAAATTTCTCATGTAGTAGTATAATTAATCAGTGCAGCGCTAAACAGTTACGAACAACAGAACCTGATTACACCCTAGTGTCTAATCCCGGCTCACTGTGCTTTAATGTTGTTCCACTGTAGCGCTAACAACGAGCCAAGCAAAGAAGGCATTACCAGACCAACCAAGTGTTCAGCCACCGCATGGAGATAAACTGGGTTCAGGAATGGTGTCTTTGGGAGAAATACAAGAAAACGAAATATTTCCCCAAGAAGACACTTCTCACTTCAAGACGAAAGAGACCTCGCAAAAAGAAGTCGTGGCTTGCTGTGGTGGCAATGATACCACTAAGGACAATTTTACTTATTTTCTGTCTAGAAAAGGCAATCATCAAACAGGGACCAGCTCATTTAAGGATGATGACATTGTTGATGACACTGACGCTAAAGTTAACGTGAAAATACCCAAAAGGAGAGCGGGTAGCTCCTTTACTGATTACAAGGATGAGAAAAGAGGCAAACCTTGGGGTCAGTGTAATATATGAAGTTCGTATTCCCAGTGTTACAAAACTAGATGCATGATAGATCCTTGCTTTCTTACTAATTAATGATTTTTTGCTAAAGTGAAGTGCCAATCCGTTCTCCTTTTCCAGTTTCTTCAGATCTCCTTAGAGTTACGTTAATCATCGTTTGCGGTTTTGTTTAAAGATTTACCATAAGTCGAAGCGCCTTTTCTGTAGGCATTTTTCGTTAAGAAATTTAATTAAGGCTTACTCAATTAATGCTGACGTTTTCATTATACAAATATGTGCTTTTTGGAATAGTGATCTATGTCACGAATTTATTCGACTGTGCAATGAATGAGAACTGCTGCACTGCTGTGAGTTGATTGGAGACGATCCCGGGGATGGGGCATTTGCTCTCCTATTTCGTCCCCACTGACGGGTATTTCTGATGTGTAGGTAGACAGACTTGAGGGTTAAGGAAAATCACGTCCATTTTGGTATTGGTATAAGCGTTAATTATCTACTATTTTTTTAGACGACGACGATGGTAAATTCAGGCTACCTCCTGGTGCAGATGTTGATGATCCTGGAATCTCTGTTGAATTAAATGCATTAATTGCATCTAGTTCTATTAAAAGAAACAGGGCTACTTTATCAACGGTCGATAAAGGTCATAGTCATGAAGAAACAGAAACAACTGAAAATGAGAATAATGAATTATCCCAGAAAGACCAGAAAGATCAAGAAAAAAAATGCAAGGATGATTTCACGGTTTTCAACCAACATTTGGAAAGCAGATCACTGAAAACAAAGAAGAAGGCCTCTACAGAGACGGGAAGTAGTGCTCAGAGCAATTTATTGAGAAAAGACGAAAGAAAGAAAGGACCAAGCAATTCAGAAGGTACTTATTGTAAAAAATAAATAACTCTAAAATTATGCTAGTATGAGAAAATTTTCGTTTATCCATGGAAGAGACTGTCACAGGGCACCACACAAGTTTATAGCAGACTAGTGGACATTTCGGAAATTTTCGCCGAGAACTTGTCAACGTATATCGTAGCAGCTTAACACTTGTTACACTCGACACAGTCGGTACCCGGCTTAAATTCAGTCGATGCACTCAAGACAGTAGGCTCATTCCTATATGACACATCTTTCTGAAAAATGTTGTACTGTTTTTGCCAACGAGCCAATCAAAGAGCCGCTTTGGAACGGCGCAGGTAAACTGTTATTCGACCCACGCTTGTATGCTTACGGGTTTGACATGAATCAGTAAGTGCAGGTTGACCATGAACACGGTTGCCTTTCAAAGCGTTTTGTCTTGCTTGTTTTAAAATTTTCTTTTTTATTATATCTGTCTTACAGCTAGTGGCCATGAAAAGGAGAGTGAAAGTACATTTGATTTAAATAGAGGAGGAAGAATGCAGAGCATCGAGGAAGACAAAGTAAGTTCAGGATCGGCCTTAAATCAGGCAGAAAAAGCTACATCTCGATATGAATTGAGCAACAACGTAACTCAGAAAGAAAACGACTTGGCTGAAAGGACAAAGGAAGATGAAAGCAAAGTTTTGAATCAGGAGCTCAGCTCAGTAAGCAAATCAAGGGACAAAAGAAAGAATGTGACCTTTAAAGTGACTGGAGACAGTGCTGAAAATGCCAGCGGTAGCAACAACGAAATGGAAGAAGGGATATTCACCTCAAAAGGTATTTGTTTTGAAGCAAAATGATTCTGATGAAAGCTAATTTTGAGAACAAAGTTTCCCAGAGCCCGTCCTTTTTTATCACGTGGTCAAAAAAAGGCGAGTAGCTCTGGGGACAAAAATTGTTAAGGACCTTTTTGGACTTTTAACATTTAGGGCATGAATTTTGCGTCATTTCACAGGAAAAAATAACGGATTCCCATTTTTGGATATTTTAGGGTATTAAATGAATACCCATAAAAATCCCAAATTTGGAAGAGTGAGACAAGTCCCAATCAGGGAACTTGGTTGGGAATTCCCTGGTTGGGACTTGTCTCACTTTGCCAAAATGGGGATTTTTATGGGTATTCTTTAAATACCCTAAAATATCCAAAAATGGGAATCCGTTATTTTTTCCTGTGTTTCAGGCCATGGAGCCCAAAAATGAGCTTAGCTAGCCG